ATCATTTATCTTCTAAATATTTTCCCAATTCTAATTATTTACTTCTTTTAATGGATGACTTAAACATTATAATTACATTTTCAAAGAAAAAGAACTTAATCACTTTAAATATCTTCTAATAATTAATATTAGCGGACAATTGTTAATATCACAACCACTAGAAATTTATCATATACTCCACTTTAGTTCTAATTCTATATCATTTATCTTCTAAATATTTTCCCCGTTCTAATTATATACTTCTTTTAATGAATGATTAAAAATTATACTTATATTATCAAAGAATAAAACTATATCACTTTAAATATCCTTTATAAACATTTTTATAATCAGTAAAGAGAAAAAGATTATAAACTCCATACTGATGTAAATATGATATGACTGGAAACTCTTTGATTATTCTACAACTCCTAATGCAAGTCAGTGCTACATATAATTAAGATACTGACATGCCTTGTACACATCAAATTTTCATGGAACTAGATCATGTCAACTCAAGGTTTACAAAAATATATATAAAGATCATTTCTATGGTATTTATATTTTCTCGTTAATTGTCTTAATTTTATTGTAGATCGCACTGACATGAAACTAAATTTCTTTCTTTGAAACTCATGTGATTTTTCTAAAGGTATTTATTAATACCCTCTTCTATAACCATTATACAACTCACAAGTGTGATTCCTTTATAGTTATAATAATCTCGTTTAACCCTTTCAATCTTAATTATCAAAATTTAGATGTTTCTTTTCCAACGACATTATCTTAATCTTTAAAATTCAATTGAAAATATTTATTAACCAATTCACTCCAATCTCTCTCATAACACAATAATAAATATTCCATCTAATGTCTTGGCATTTATGTATTCTTTTTAAATAAAACTCTAGTTCGACTTTTTAAATCAATTTATAACATGTCCAATAGTGAAGTTCTGTTTATGGAATAATGCTTCATATATATCTATGTGTATATATATATATCTGTGTGTGTGTGTGCACGCGCGCGCATGTATTAAAACTATCATGTAATATTTTATCAAAACAACATTTTTTTTTCTTGACAACTTCATCGTTAGCAAAATTAATTCATTTTTATTTCTAATATATCTAATCTAATTAATATCTCTAATTTCTTATCCTTGTCATAATTTTTCAATATATTTCCTTTTCATCATGAATAATATTAAGCTCCTTAAATAATTTATTCAAAGCTACATTATAATTTTGCAAGCCTCCTTTCTTATGATCATTTCAAATATGAATAGTATTCAATTTTAGTCATGCTTAAAAGTGTATTATTTTTCATAAAATTTTACCATGATTAAATATCCCTATTAGTATATAACGTAGACGTATGTCCCCTAAAGCTTCTATGTAATCTTCTTTGGAATTAGTCCGCATAACCCACATCAAGTTTGAATCAAACTTAAAATTTAGGCAACCTATCTTAAAAGGTAAATTGTTTCTCAGCTTTTAAATTACACAACTTTATATTATGCTTTTAAATTATACATCCATAACTATTATTCTAAGCTGTATGGTCAAACTCTATCTTGGAATTACCTTTAGAATCAATGCTAGAATTTTTTTCTTTCTTTCTAATTAAGAAAAATGTATTTGCGATTTGGTTGCTCCACTTTTATAAGTTAATAGTGTAAGTTTATAAGCTATTGCAATATCTAATATAGCATCTTACATTGAATTTCTATCTTAAATAATCATCATGAATCCTTTCATAGTCCATCCTACTAAAACCTATATGCCCATTTAAATCATCTCCGAAAAATATCATATCTTCCACAGGTATGCATAAGATTAGTTCGTTCATCTCTTTCTAAAATTAAATTTTAATATTCGAATCCAACTTAACAAGTATGGGCACTAACCATTTTCATAATATCTTCACCAATAATTACCCTGAAAACAATCACCTTGTCATTAACCTTATTCATTTTAATAATTTAATCTTTTAACATTACCTAAATTTTTTCCAATTTCTAACCTCATTCCTATTGCTAACCTTTACAGCAAGGGGTAGTAAAAGCACCCACAATATTAAGAAGGATCAACCAAAAATAACAAGGATAAAATTGTTTAAAAAAATCAATTTATATTAGATTTAGAGCTTCATGTAACATTCAATGGAAATGGCATGAGACTGAGGATTCATAAGACTAATCATCAATAGTAGGGATAAAGCTAATTATAATTATCTTGACATAAGATCATAATAAAGAGGAATGAATGCAATTTTTCTAGCCTTTTAAAACAATATAAAAAGTTCCTTATTGAAATGATATTTAAGGTTGCCATACAATGGTAAGTCTCACAAGTGAATGAGGTTTCAAGAGCTAGGAGTTTCACCGATGGAAGAGGTTCTTAGTAAAGAGTATTTTCATGGGTGACCACATGCAAGACCTTTCTTATAGATTGATATGATTTTCATTAATGGGTTTCACAAGGCAAATTAACACCTTTGAATTCACTTGTATAAATTGTGGTTTTACTACTAGTGACTGCTGCTTTGGATAAATGCAACAGTAAATATGCAGGCTGGCTATCTACATGAAACCTGGATTTCAATTAGCGGGCTTTTTGCTTGCTTCATAAAATGCTCTTTGAGATTGAGATTTAAATTTAGATTATACAGAAACAAAAAAAAGTATGATTTTATGCAAGCCATATGTACCAACCAAGAGATAAGAAGTAGGCTAATAGACAGTCTAAGGCATGTATATTTACAGCTTTCATTCAACAATATTTCAGATTCCAATTTTTAATCTTATGCGTACAATTAGATGTATAATTCCTTCTAGTGTGCGACAAATATGACTACCTAATTTCATGAAAATCATTTCTTTATGTCAGTATGAAGCCAAGCTTTTCCTTCAGTGAATTCTTGCTTTTATATTTTTTTAAATACTTTGTTATTCATTTGCTAGAGTTCTTAATTTATTTAAATTTAATACAACCAAAATTCTAATTGTTATCCAAAAATTGCAATTGCTTTGCATAGTTCCAACTTCTTATTGATTTATTCAATCATTATGTTATCTTTTGGGTTATATTTCTTGAATTTTTTGGTTTTAATTTGAAGTAAAGAGTTTATAATTATTCATGAACACCATCATGAAAATCATTTGTGAATGAATATGATCCTATTGAAGAAGCTATAACTCGTGAATATTCTTTTGAGAATGTATTAAAAATAGAAATTTATTTGCGATTATATTAGTACTTTGCACCTGTTAAAATGAGTTCATGAACCTAGAGTGGGACTTGAGTTTAAAAGCAAAGTTGAGAACAACATCATAACAAAATCTAAATGTCTAATGAACATTGAAGCTATGCATGGATATGAAATTGAACTACTAATGATAATTTTAGTTGATAAATAAAATTAGCAAAAAAATATATAACTCTTGATACTTATCTAATGATATTATTCATACTTAATTGATATCGATCTTCTTTATAAGCTCATTGTTTAGTGACGCAAATTTATCAATGGTAAATCTCTCCATCCATCTAGGCAATCCTAAGGCTAAATTATTAAAAAAAAATAATGTTTAAATTATTTGGTTTATTTTTCTCTAATAACATTGTACATTTATACAGGCATATTATAACTATGATTTCTTCAGTTATAAGTTTTTTATTATCTCATTTTCCAGGAAGTTATCAAAGGTCATTAAGAAGAATATTTGTTTTTTGGCATTTTCATTACTTGCCTTATATCATTTTGCGTGTTTTGCTTGAATTGCATGAAGATATTCATGGAATATAAATTATTATCTATGACATTTATTTGCTTTTTGCTGATGTAAACTAGAGATATATTAAACCTGGTGAAAAATAATGATCTCTTTAAATTCAAAAAACTTTCCTCAAGAAACTTCTGATAAATCAAATGCAAAAGGGTTGGTGTTATTTAAAATCGTGGAGTAGACGGAAACTAAAGGCTATAAATTATATTTTTGAAGGAAATTATAGCATTAATTAAATTTTTTATGTATTTGGTTTGGCCAGATTTTATAACCTTGGTATAAATTCCAAGAATTATTTTATCTTTCCATCACTCCTTATAAAACCAAATTCAACACTGTCAAACAATTCATTCAAACTTGTTTTAAAACCAACTCCAAATGATAAGATTATCCATTATAAATGGCGGGTTCTAGTGATATCTTATGCAATTACATGGTAGACCTATTTATAAATACCAAATGCTAAATTCTTTGAAGCCAAATTTGCTTATGCTAGGCAGATTTGATGTATAGTCTCACAGACTGATAAGAATCTCTAGGCCGATAGTTTGTTGCATAATTATAGTTACACTACTAAGCCTAAATCTTAACAGTCCTACAACCCCATCAGATAATTTAAGTCAAATTTTCAATATATTTTTCTCCTAAGGAGAAGGCCCCCAAACTGACCCCTTTTTGTGCTTTTAAATGGCCCTGCCCTATGCCAAGATTAGACCATTTTCGAGACAACGATAAGCTATCTGTTAGTTCAGCGAACTAAATTGTTCTTGATCCTTCTATCCACACTTTGTCCATCCTACTTTTCTTTCTGGTGCTTAATCATAATTTGTCTATATGAACTATCAATTATGCAAAACCGGGTAAATTTGGAGTATTTCCTTCAAATTTATCTCGTTTAAACTTTAAAACGGTGTGCATGGAAGAATTTCCACATTATATTTACATCCAAAACTCAGAAACGCATGTATTACACTAGGCCTCAAGTATATTAATGTCAAAGTTTGGAAACTTATAATGTAGTCAGATAATGGCCTCATTTGGGACTTCAGTAATGAAAAATGGACTGCAGAACTACTAAGTTCTAGTTGAATCGTCTCATTCTAAGATTTTCAGCAAGACGGTGCTGCAAAGTTAGCTAAGTTATTTGTGCCTAGGCATTTAGAACTGTAAAGGACAAATAATCAAAAAACTGAAATACATCAACTATTTACAGAAAAGTTATGGTAGCTTTTCAAACAATATAAAAGTAACAAGATAGTTTTTCGTTAATTTAAATCAATGAATCATGAAGTCGAATAATGTAGCATTATAATTGAAAAAGAATAGAGAAGCTAAAATTTGGGAGAAGCCTCTGATCAAGTAAAAGAATTTGGTCATCCGAACATGTTAAAAGACTCCTCATTTGTTGTCAAGTTCCTCTCATGCTTAACCACATATACTTCACGAAATTCCTCAAAAAAGTTTTATTCTCAGCAATATATAAATGACCACAAATCATCTCATACCTGTTAGCAATAAGGCAATAACCTTCTGCAGAAACCGTTTGCAGAAACATAATAGCTCTTGGAATCGATACTACGCCCTTTCTTAAAGCTCATCTGCAGCTAATCCGAATGAGTGCCATATTACTCAAAATGATATAAAGGCCGGAAAAATGCATAAAATGCCTATTACGAAGAATCGCTTTGGAGGCCATAGACATTCCCTACAACTCCTACAATGCTAACCAATAGTGCCCACGATAACATCATCCACAACAATAGTCTCTCTCCACGATTCCAACCCACACCTTGCTTGTCCAATTTTAAAGCAATCAAACAAGGAAATATGAATCCTAAAGACAGCCCAGTGGTGGCACCTGTAAACTTGAAGGCAACCCAGATGTTAGGGATCATGGCAGAACCAAGATAAATAAGTCCCAACAATGAGGCGGTCAAAGCCAGCGTCTTAACCCTACTTTGAGGTAGAGGTTCTTTAAACAGCAAAGCACTCACTGTCTGCCTAAGAGAAAAATGGATCACAGGAAACACAAGAACAAGATGAAGAACATAACCAATTCTAACAACATAGTTCAGTGATGTACTGAATCCAATCCCTAAATCCTTGTCAAAATTGGTGAGCACATCTGATTCAGTGTCATCCCCGAACAACAAGTATCCAGAAACCGCAGTTGCAAAATATACGAGCACACACAACAGAGTTGTGATCCTCCCAACCCTATACATCTTCTGAGGAGATTTTCCCTTGAGCTCATTATAGATCGGTTGAACATTAAAATGGCAAACATAGGCATTTGTCATGATAGGAACAACAACTAGCAAATCCAAGATAGCTACTTTACTCCCCAAATCAGGCCCCATCCTTGGTTTTGCTATCCTTCCCTCCACAACCTTCGTAAAGGCAACTGCACAAGATACTACAACAAAAACAATGGCAAGAGCAACAGATGCAGCTGACGTGAAGCTTAACGAATCAATCTTCTCCAAAGCACATAAGGGAGCCAGAAACACAACCAAAACAACTAGAATCACAAGCTTTCTTAGATCCCATACTCCATGGCCAAGCAGTTGTTGGAATACACCAACATGATCTGGTGAACCCGACATCACATCTCCTATGATAATTAGATAGACCACAAGTATACCTGCATTGTTGATAATTATAGAGATTTCTGATAGGATCCTCATACGGAAACCAAGGGCGGATTGTACTACTTCACCATAGGAAGCAGATTTGCTGAGGTGGGAAAACCGAACAAGAAGCTCAATACTGATTTCTGATAGAACTCCCATCACAACTATAGCGAAGGAACCAAGAACAAGACCAAGAGCCTTCATGGTGGCGGGAAGGGCCATGATCCCGGCGCCAATAATAGAGGTAGCAAGGTTGAAAACTGAACCGGGGATCCCAGAGCCAGAATCACTGCTAGCCCTCTGCCTGTCACCATCGACGATGAGGGGAAGGACATCAAGTTCATTAACATTATCTTCTTCAAATCGTTCCTTAACTGTGCCATTATGATTAGGACTTTCAAGCTCAATGCCATTTTTAAGAGATTGAAGTTCTATGGAGGTACTTTTGGGGATGACAGTGTAGCTGCTGTTCATATTAGATCTAAAAGAGAGCTAGAAAGAGCAATTAAGAGAACCGTAGAAAAGAGGATTTGAGTATCGATCAAAATCTGATTTTTAAGACTGACCTGTCAGATTTGGAAGGAGAAATCAACCAAAAGTAAGGAGCACCATACGGGGCAATTCATAAAAAACAGGGCTTTTCAGATTTGAAAAGATGACCAATAGGACAATCTTGGTTCAAAAAAAATAACCTTATTTCCTCACGATCGAAAAACTCAGATTTGAGATAACCGACGAAAAGCAGGTGTGGAGAACAAGAACGTGGACCTATAGAAGGTGTGATCAAATGAGCACATCTTAGCTTTGTGATTCGTTCAAAGAACTAAAAATAAGAGATCTGTAACTCGAAAAACACGGCATTGAATGCCTGGTAATGAGGAAGAGACAGGCCTTAGTGCAAAACTCTACTAATTCAGTTTGCTATGTATTTAGTGGAGAGTTTGACCTCGGTACAAGAAAATGTTATAACCAGATCGGGTTCGCCAATAAGGGAACGAATATATCATCAAAATATAATTAATTTATATTTAATTCGCACATATCTTATTCATATTTAATATATTTACCCAACAAAAGAGAATGTAATCTTAGAAAAAAATTTTCATGCCGAGTCTGCAGGCAGCACGCACGCAGAGCAGACTCCAATAATATGTCGACACATGCCACATCAAGCCCACCTCATAAAATATTACAAAAATGAATTTTTTTCGTCTAACCCAATCCGGACTTTTTCGGAGCTTCGAAGAGAAAAAACTTTCACGTCGAAGCTATGCGGATCATTTTTGGTGGAGATAGCTGCTTTCCAATTGCTATAGTTTATGAGGTCCGCACACCAATTTTTTCGACATCATTTTCTCTTACGGCCAACACGCATTTTTTCGATGTCATTTTCTCTTGCAGCCTGCACACCATTTTTCGACGTCATTTTCTCTTGCAGCGGACAGGTGACCTCTTGAAGATGAACTATAAAAATAGATATTTTATGTATGAAATGGAGGAGATTTATCATGTAAACAGATAAACACATGAGATGAAAATGGAGATTAGTTTTCATATTTTTTTTATTTTTTTGGATTTTTTTTCAACTATTTTTAAGGTGTTATATTTGGTTGTTATTATGGTTTTAGGGTGTTGTTATTATTAGGTTTTAGTGATTTTCGAGTTGTTTATGAGGAGTTTTTATGGTTTCATGTAGGTGTTATTGAGGTGTTATTGTGACGTTATTTGAGTGATTTTTTTTTAAAGTTAGCAAAGCCTATTATGAAAACTTTAAGATTAGCATTCTTTATTTTGCAGCTTGGTGAGAGTGGAGATAACTGTATCGGGCCAACTGCAAACAAATTACTTCACACTGTTGTTCACAACGAAAAAGAAGCATACGAAGTATATTGTGTTTTTGCAGCTTGGTGAGAGTGGAGATAACTGTATCGAGCCAACTGCAAACAAATTACTTCACATTGTTGTTCACAACGAAAAGAAGCATACGAAGTATATTGTGCTTATGCTCATCTTATCGGTTTTACTATTCGCAAGGGCATGCTAGTTTTTGGCCTAACTCAAGGAATATTAAGATGAAGGACTTCATCCATGGTAAAGTAGGTTTCAAGAAACAGTTAAGGATCACTAAGATTGTTAAATATAAAAAAACGGACATAAGGATTGGTTGTCCAGCAATGATTCAGTGCGCAGTTGATGGTCAAGGCAATTGGAGAGTTGAAAATTTTATAGAAACTTGTAACCACTCCTTAGCGAGCCCTGTTGATAAGCACTTTTTGCATTCCAGCAGAAAGATAAGTAAAATCAATGCAGATGTGCTCAGATCGATGACACAATCGGGTATAAGAATTACAGATGCATTTAATTTTCTTGCTACATAAGTTGGGGGAGTGGCGAATATGGAATGTACGAAGAAATATATCTTCAATTTCATTCAAAGATATAAAAGATTTAGAATTGAAATTGGCGATGCCAATTCTCTATTGCAGTTGTTCACAGAGAGACGAGTCGAGGATAGTATGTTTGCGTGGGACTTTGAAATTGATGAGAATGATAGGCTGGTGAGATTTTTTTGGAGTGACCGCACATCCAGTCTTGGTTATGATTGTTTTGGTGATGTCATTATTTATTATACCAGTTATAAGCTAAATAAATATAATTTATGTTGTACTCTTTTTATTGGTGTTAACCACCATTGGCAAAATGTTTAATTTGGAGTCGGATTCTTGTCAGATGAGACGATTGATTTGTTTAAATGGTTTTTTAAAAAGTTTATCTATTTCATAGATGACAAGCATCCAATAACAATCTACATTGATTAGGATCAAACAATAGCTACAACCATAGAACATATTTTACCAAATATACAACATAAGTTATGCTAGTAACATATGTTCAAGAAATTTTCGTCAAAGGTTCACTGTGGAGTTGGGAATAAGACAGTAACCGATCTTTTCTATAAATGTATGAGCAAATGCAACTCTGACGAGGAGTTTGAAAATACCTAGGAGGTGATGATTGAAAAAGGAAATCTGCAAAACAATGTGTGGTTAGATGGTATGCATAACGTTAGACATAAGTGGTCTACCACTTTTAATAAATAAATTTTTGGAATGGAAATTTTATCGACCCAAAGAAGTGAGTCCACCAATAATATTTTTCATGGTGTCTCAAAGCCCACAACTTCTATGGCCGATTGTTTTCTAGTCCTTGAAAATGTCATGAAAACATGGTGGCAGATTTTAAGTGTGATCAATCTGTAATTACTCCCATAACTAAAAGCAGTTCAATATTAAGGCAGACAACTTCATTTTACTCAAGGAAGATGTACTCAATGTTTGATAAAGAGTTTATACACGGATCATGTGATTTTCAATTATAATTATCTGAAAATTGTGATTGTAAGTATTTCATTAAGAATTTGGATGATCACTTCACAAACACACCTTAGGTTGTTAATTTTGACTGGACCAGTTCAAATATTAAGTGCATTGTAGAAACTTTCAAATGATGGGGCTATTATGTGCTCACTCTCTACGAGTCCTCAACTTCAGAAACTTTCAAATGATGGGGCTATTATGTGCTCACTTTCTACGAGTCCTCAACTTCGAACATATAAAGTAGATACCAAATAAACATCTCCTATTGAGATGGCCTGCAAATGCAAAAGGGATATATATAACAGTTATGGATATAAGCATCTCCAAGAGGCACAAATATGAAATGCTAATTCAAGTGGCCTCATATTTCACATTCAAAAAATTGAATATCAAATTAGTAATGCAGCATAGGGGAATGAAGAAGCTGAGCAGTGCATACTGGACTCATTGAAAAAATTACCATTTGATGTGGATGACATAGTAAGTTAAAGACGTTCTCATTCCAGGAAACAGTAGAAAAGGAATAAAAAAACCAGATAATAATGAATCCAACTTGAATGAACTAGCCAAGAGGCACCCTAAGGGAATATCTAATTCCAGGTTAAAAGGGTATTGGGAGAAGAACAAGAGAGCAAAATGTATATTCTTTCTATTCCGATGTGAGTTTAATTTTGTAGCTAACAATAAGTTTTTCTAACACTTACCATGGTACACAGGAAAGCGAAAAGAAGCTTCAACAAGCCAGGAACCAGAACCAGTCCCATGTGATCCAAACCTGTGTTTAATGTCTGATTTTCTCACACAGGTCAATATATAATGAAAAATGATCATCATTAGGTTTTGCTTTTTCTAGTTCTTATTTTTTTGTGTCGTTACCCGGCCATAAACATTCACTCATGATTATTCCAACATTGCATAATTGGTTTATACCATAGCCCACAGAATCATATACTGAATTGATGATGGATTCCATTCGTGATATATAATTTTCAGCACAAAATATTCAATTACATTATTCTTTTGTGGAATACTATGTAAAAATAAGTATATTAAATCAAACAATATTGCAAACATTACTTATTCAATTTTTATTTACATTTGGTTTTTCAGAATAGCTTAATTACATCAGTTTTATTTCATAAACGCATAATTGCATAAATAATTCAGATCAACTATTGCTCCAGTATCTGCAAATGACTATTAATTGGTTAAAGAGTGATAAAACTGATATGATTTGAATTTCTTTCACTAAATGTTAGAATCCTAAATTGATATGAATGTAAATGCTCCTAAAATGCCGCAATAACCCCCCTAATAATGTTGCAATAACCCTCTATTAACTAATCTGCAATAGTCCCTGCAGAACAACTCCAATAACGTCTCAATATTGTTAAATTTAATATAATATGCAATTCTAAATAAAATTTATGTAATTAAGGTATTTTGAAAAACTAAATGTAAATAAAAATTTCTTAAGTAATGCTTGTGGTATTGTTAAATTTAATAAATTTATTACATAAGTAATCATCAACTTCAAGAATATGTTATTTTATTTGAACATACTTCAATGATATTTCTTAAAATCATTGATAAAATTACAAAACATATAAAAAACTTTCATTTATGTTTCAAACAACACAAATTTACGCATATCATGAACTATTTTGCTCTAAATCTAGGCATATCTTCCTCTCATCCTAATTTATCACTCGAATGTCTTTGGGTCTGTTTAGGGCAGCTGCAGCTTATTGAATAAACTGCTGATTAAAAATAATTTGTCGATAAACTAGACACGGTGGCTATTACAAATTTTATTTTTTTTTGAAACGTCTAACCGCAGCCAGAAAGCTGTCACTGCACTTAGATAGGTGCGGTGTGAAAACGCTGTTTTCAGTGTTTTGAAAACACATAAGCTGCCAAGACGCAGTTTACCCAAACAAGCTATGTGTGTTTTCAAAATGTCATCGCACCAAATAAGCAACCCCAAACGGACCCTCTATTTATTTGTACTAGTGTTTCCATATATTTACATATGAATACATCACAGTCAACGAAATTACTCTATAGCAGGGCAGCTGCAGCTTATTGAATAAACTGCTGATTAAAAATTTAAAAATAATCTGCCGATAAACTAGACACGGTGGCTATTACAAATTTTATTTTTTTTTGAAACGTCAGACCGCAACCAGAAAGCTGTCACCGCACTTAGATAGGTGCGGTGTGAAAATGTTGTTTTCAGTATTTTGAAAACACATAAGCTGCCAAGACGCAGTTTACCCAAACAAGCTATGTGTGTTTTCAAAATGCCATCGCACCAAATAAGCAACCCCAAACGGACCCTCTATCTATTTGTACTAGTGTTTCCATATATTTACATACGAATACACCACAGTCAACAAAATTACTTTATAGTACTCTATAGCAGAATGCCTTTGGCCATGAAAACTAGCAATTTTTTAAGTCGCTCTTGAAAGCTCTCCTGACATCCTTCACAAAATGTTTAATCTGCAAATTTTAATGTTAAATTAAATCGATGACAACACATACAATGCAAAAAAATTGCTTCAA